GCACTAGCGCAGTGCGCCACCGGGCCGGCCCAATACCTTTTCTGAATAAAAAGTTTATGTGACAAGCAGACCATTGAACACTTAGCCTAAGCATTGCTACATTTTTCTGGGGAAAGGAAAGATATTATAGAAATTGACTTTACTGATTTTATGCTTGACTTGATCATTTTAACCCACGGTATCTTTTCCTTTACTGAGAAAACAGCATGTTATTTGTTATAAATGGGACAGTGCAACTGGGACCTCCTAGGAAAATACTTAAACTTGTAGCACAATTTAATCCCCCAAAAGTGCCCACCTCAGTAATTTCTGCTGCAGCAAATTTTGAGGAAAACTGCATCACTGGTGAGACACCATCCTTGTTGGGGACCATCATTTCTGTCCTCAGTTCAGGTAAAATAAGAAAAGCAGCTGAAGGCTTAATTTCTGGGATCATATCGGCGAACCAATCCAACTCAGGATCTTGTACTGGCTTCTTTTTTACTTGAATGGTAAACTCCTCTCCTAAGCCAAGTTCTAATGGAAACTTAAGAGGCCTTCCTTGTGATGTCACTTTTGGTGGCTTGATTTGGCCTGGGTCATCCCTGCATTGTACAAGACTGGTCTTTTGGGGTAGACTTGACTTCAAAGGCTTCGACTCTTCAGTTGCCAGCAAAGCAGGAATAGGCTTCTGCTCCCCTGAGGTAACAGGTTTTACAGCAATGACTCCATCTCCTTGGTTTCTTTTAGTCTCTAAGCTGCTGGATTCACAGTCATCATAAGATGACTCCTCCACATTCAAGTTAGTACACTGGGACTTGGCAGCATCACACGGCTCTCTAGGCCAAATCTGTATGTTCTCAGTTTGGTTCTCAGGCTCCTCAGGCTCACTCCAATCAGGCCACTCCTCACACTTTTTAGAACCTGATGGGAAGTTTTCATTGTCCTCTGAAGTATTTCTCACATCTGCGATTCCATTCATGGGAAATTTAATAGGCTGAGAAAACTTATCACCTGTGAGTATATGTACAAGAATTATTCTCATGTTGGTTAAGAGCAAGAAATGTATTAGGGGAAAGTTAGCATTAATGAAATGTATACATCAATTACTTGGAAATATACATGCATGCTAAACTAACAAAAGAGATCCCACCCAGCAGAATATCACTCAAAATCAATGATGTCATATAAGTTATCCAAATACTTACTATATAATATCCATATAATATTGTTAACTCAATGGAAGCCTATCAAGTAACGACTAACTGGAGCATCCAGTCCTTTACCAGATATCCAAACACAGTTTATAGGCATAACTGCCTATAAATGAATATAGAAATGCTCTAAGCCAAGCAATGTTACCCTCAAGATGTTAATTACATATACCCTGAAAAAATGTTGTGTGCTTAAATAAGTTTGCTTGACCCAACTTATCCTCATTTTAAGCAAATTTCCCTAAGCGTAAAGTAAGGCTCTGAGAAATTTTATGCAATGTGTGCTCTGCTACAATTTCTCCAAACTTATTTAACCACAGAACTCTTTTTTCACAACACAACTATCAACATCTTTCAGAACTATCATTCTTGGTACAATTTGGAAGATGCTGTATAAAGGGATCAAAAGTCCCAAAGTGAAGTATCTAGTCCAAAAAAGAATTCAAGTAATGTCAACCTGCTCTTCTCACCAGTAATGAAGACAGCGTAGGTATATACCCAATAGTCTAGGGAAAGACAATGAGACCAAAATTGACTACACAGTTATAAATAAGAGAGGTCAGTCTCAAAACTCCCAAAGTGCCCTAATTTTCAGAATTTTAACTTATTTATTCTCAGGAAAACATTCATCTGAGCAATGGAAAAGCTATATAAATTTAATATTTCTACCTGTCTGTAAAAGAGTATTGTAGTAATCTCGCTGTATGTGCTTCTTGCTGTTGATGGGCATGTTGCCAGAAAAGAAACACTTAGGAAATATGCTAGAGGAGGGGTTCTCCAAGACTGGCGAGATCTGACTGTGCTGGTTGCAGACGACGTGCATGGGAGAATCTGAAGGTAAATAAAAACTCCAAAAAATGAAAGGGATAGTAAATTTCTTCTTGATCGATGACATGTTTGGTGAGCAACAGTTAAGGGAAAGGGGTACATTTAACACAAATGAAAGATAAGCTGCAGGGAGAGAACATCTTCAAATATTTGAAGAAACAACCTATTAGGGAATGGATTGCCTGTCCCTGGAGGTGTTTACAAACGGACTGTGTCCACTCCATGTGGTGGTGATGAAATAGAGAGGAACCAAGCACTACATAGATATAACCTTTAGGATACCTAGTTAAAAAGTTACAGCTGTTAAAAACATTTTGGTGGTGATTTAAAAACCATAAGTGATTCTATGTACTTTTAAGAATAAAATCCACATGTAAAAGCCCAACAGCATGAATGTACTTAATACAATAAAATTGTACACTTAAAAACGGTTAAAATAAATTTTATGCTATGGATATTTAACCCCCAACTTGGAAAAAAAAAAAAAAATTTTTTTTCATGAAAATGTCCTTAACAATTTACCAAAAAGTTTATACTCAAGACTGGACAATGATCAAAAAGATTCTAGCAAAATTTTGGCTGAATAGTTCCTTTGCCTTAAAATTAAGTGAGGGTGAAGGGAATGGCCTGGGGTAAACTATCACTATTAGGTCCCCAGCTTTCTTCAGCACATTTCCCCTCCTCCACCCCAGCCCTCTAAGGCCTGGCCTTCACAAGCTCTCCACTTCTCTCGCTTATTTATGCCACTATCCTCCCTACTGAAGTCTTAATTAATTTTTCTTACCTAATGTCCTCTTCTCTAAATCGTGTTCCCCAACTCACTTTCAGGCAGATGTATTTATTTCCCTTAGTTACACCTTTCACAAACCTCAATATTAGCCCTTATTCTTAAGTCAGACCATGCAGGTAAACTGCAAAAGACTGAAGAAAAAAAAATGTCTAAGAGTAGACCTACCTTATGCATGTCCCTTTCCCCATCAGTCCCCCTACATCTTTCAGAAAAAAAGCTGCTATTAATTATAAACTTGGAATGTAGACTGCTGGCAGGGCTCACTAGTCCTCAATGAAGAGTCTAACTGGGATAGTCAGTGGGATAAGATGTCTTATCAAGTCGCCAGGAAAATCTTAAGAAAAATTCATCTACTACTGCTGCTCTTGTGCCTTCCGAGTTTCCTATTAATACTGCAAAGTAATCCAAATGGATGTAAACAAATGCATATCTTTAATATATAAAATGTCTACAACTCTAATAAATAATACAGATGTTAGGAATGGGAGCTTTTGCTAATTCAGCATGCAAAGCTGCCCCAAGGACTACCCACTAAGCTTTATCTCAAAACTACACACCCCTCAAAAAATTCCTCTGGTATAATATAAGCCTCTCACTTGCTATTTGATATAATCTGCTAAAAGCAGAATTGGTAACAAACGGATCCCACCCAATCTGGTAAGTACATTTCACAACCAAAAATGAAGCCTCTACAACACCCTTTTCAAGCTCCTTGGAGCCACACTGACATTGTTTCATTAGCACCAAGGAAGAATTGAACTCTCTTCAAAACTTCAGGTAGCCAGAGTTGCTTTAAAAATTCTCTTGGCATCAAAATCAGAGAAAATCCTATGCAATTACTCTTTTCTACTAACAACTTTTCATGCTATCTACTATCAGTAAACTGAATTGGAGATCCAGAATTTCATAACGAGGTCATTGTCCTATTCAAAGTTATACAAAGAAGCAATGACACTGTTAATACAAAATTTTCATAAGACCAGAAATTATTGCTACCTCCCAGGTAACATCAAATGGGAACATACCAGAAATAAAGATTTCTTGAAGTCCTTAAAAATCAACAACTTTTCACCCAATAGGCCAGCAAAAATCAAAAGAATTTACACATCTAGTGTTAGTAAGAATTGCTATAATCTTTTTGTAAACTGACAATATCTACTAAAATTTAAAATACATCCTTTGACCCAGCAAGTCTACTTTTGAGTCTTTATCCTATAGCAATGAAACCCAAAGTACATAAAGATACACATGTAAGGATATTTATTACAGCCATTGTTTGTAGTGATTAAAAATCCAGAAATGGATGCAAAATACATGAATAAGGGAATCACTGAATGAATTATATTTAATGAAATGTTACGCAGCTATCAAAAAGAGTGAGCTGGATTTCTATGTATTAACATGGAGAGAAGTCCCTGATATTCTGTTACACAAAAACAAGTTGTAGATATGTATATGGTATTTTCTTACCATTTTAAAAAATAACCAACATATGTATGTATGTATAAACATACATCTGTGTCTCTTCTTGTGAGCTTAAAAAAAGGTATGAAAGGATTCCCATTGGACTATTAAAATTGGTTACCTTATAGCCCCTAGAAGTAGTTGGGAAAGGGAAGCTTTTTCCTTATACTTCTCTGATCATTTGATCATACAACCCTCCTGCATTACTTGTATAATATTAAACCTAATAAAATAACAACACAATATAAAGCTAGATCTTTTAGTCATTCTTACCTTCTGGGGAAAGGTCAGTAGTTTTAGTAAAACTTGGGGCAGTGCGTTTGAAGATCTTAGTTCGTTCTCCTCCCACAACCACCTCTGGTCCAAGTAGAGAGACCAGCACCGCTAGGCTATGAAGAGTAATGGCCACAATGGAATCACTGGTATCACGCAGGCCCAGTAATACCTAGGAGCGAGTGAGGTAATAAGTGTAGACAACCACATCACCTATCTTTTTCTCCCTCTGTGACCAAGCAATTGGGATGCAGTCAGACTGTGCTTGCTCAGATGAACTACATTTTCTTAGATACGTGTTATATGTCAGTGGATCTCAAACTACCTGTGGTAAAGGACCACTATCTTCCCCTCCCAATCCATAAAAGACTGATACTTTTTAAAAAAATACAATCAAAACAAAATTAAACAAATACATTGGAAACCAACATAAAATTACTCCATCAAATTGCTACAAAAGGATTTAAATATTAACTGTCCATTATCTGTACTCACACCTCATCACAGAACTATTCAAACAGTTCATGGACTGGCAGTGTTCTGCAGAGGGCACTCAACCACTCATACAGGACACTAATAATTCCGTTCCTGGTCCTTGCCCCTCTTTTCAGTTCTACACATCCACAAAGACAGGACCTTGAAAACTTTCTTAATATAAGATGCATGTAACACCTGCCCCAAACTCAGCCAATCATGATCGCTTGCCCAGCAATATAAATTGCAGCTTAGAGAAACTGGTTATCTCTATGGTTTTTTTGAAATGCAGACCATAAACTTGGGAGTTATGCGACAACCACGTTTGGCTTCGTGCCCAAGTGAAAGTTCATCTTCCAAGAAACTAAAGTGGAACAGATACACAGAGATAGGAAAGGCAGGAAGAGCAAATGGCTGTGAGATCCAACTGCACTTGATTTCCATGTAAACTTCGTGCCCAAGTGAAAGTTCATCTTCCAAGAAACTAAAGTGGAACAGATACACAAAGATAGGAAAGGCAGGAAGAGCAAATGGCTGTGAGATCCAACTGCACTTGATTTCCATGTAAGGGAGTCTGACATTTCATTAAATTCTTTTTTTGCTTCAGCTGGTTTAAAATGGGTTTTAGTTAGTTGCAACCAAAAGCACCTTAACCAAGACAGTCAAATGCAGATATCAGGAGAAGTTTTGCTCTGTATACAAGGAAGGAGATGACCTGCAAGGCATCTGCACCAGCCAGATGCAAGGCCAGGGCAATTAGCCTGCCCAGTGGAACAACAGAGCATGGCACATATCAGGAATCCTGAGTTCTGGTCCTAGCTCTGCTAGTAGTTCTCAATATGATTTTACAAATTATTGTTTTATTTTTCTGTTCTAGTTTCCTCCTTTACATAATAAGATCAAAGATTCCCAACAGGACTCAATAAGAGTTTATTGGGTCCAATGCTAACAGATCAGGCACTTTCTCAAAACAAGGCTATACAATTAAACTAAAGCCTGTTTCTTTTGCATATGATTAAATTCTATCAACTGAATATGGTAATCATATAATAGTCCACCCAAGCCAAAAATCCATCATACTCAAAGTCTCTTCCATCTAGTGAGAAACTGAGTCCCATCGCTTCTACCCTTTATATGTCCCTCTCCTATATCCACTGCCATATTTTCCCTAGCCACTGTCATCTCTTAACTGAACGATTCTAGCAGCTTCCTAGCTGATCTCTCTTTCTATGCACTGCTACCGTATTGAACTTTCTAGCACACAGAAATTAGCCCAGTTACTCTCCTACAGGGGCAGTAGTTTCCTAAGTAATGAGAACATTCATTATCTTCCACATGCTGAACATCTACTTATCCTTTGACCTCAATCCCAATTCTGAGACCTATGATGACAACTCTCTTTCAGAGTTAGAGGGCTTCATTCCTCTTCTAAATCTCCAATCATAACTATATATAAGGTAACAATTATTGCTACAGATATAAATACAAATCACTATGTTGTGGTAGCTAGGCTCTAAAGTTGTCCCCCTGTGACCCACACCTCCAGTATCCATATCCTGTGCTAAGCCATCCCACAGTGAGCCTGAGCTGACTTTTTTGACTCACTTTAACAATTTGCAGAAATAACACTGCCATGAGGGCCGGCCCATGGCTCACTCGGTAGAGTGCGGTGCTGATAACACCAAGGCCCCGGGTTTGGATCCCATATAGGGATGGCCGGTTAGCGCACTGGCTGAGCGTGGTACTGACAACACCAAGTCAAGGGTTAAGATCCCCTTACCAGTCATCTTTTAAAAAAAAAAAAAAAAAAGAAATAACACTGCCAGTTCTCAACCTACACCTTAAGAAGGCTGCTTTTGCCTTTTATTTTTAGTACTTTTTTTTTTTAGTCCAATCATATAAGAAGTCCACCTATGTTCCTAGAGAAATCATGTGCAAATGTCACATAGGGGGATAGAAGCCCTGAGACCCTGAGAGTTCATGAAGAAAAAGATCCAGTTTGCCCAAAGTCCCAGCTAAGCCCAGACTTTCAGCCATTTCTTCCAAGGTGCCAAGGAGCCACTTTGGATGTCTCAGCCCTGGTGAGGCCCCTGATGACTAAAGCCTCAGCTAACATCTCTGGAGCAATAGAATCCCCAAGTTGAGCCCTGTCCATCCAAAGAATCATGAAAATGGATGGATGAAATGGTGTTGTTGGAATGCACTAAGTTTTGGGGTGGTTTGTTACACAGCAACAGGTAACTGAAACATCTATCTTTCCCACTTATTAGCTCCCTGAAAACTAATCTCATAGGAAAACAAATTATTTGAAAGATATTATGTGATTAGTATCTTTTAAAAAAACACTTTTTTAAAAACCTCATACTGTATTGAATACCGTCTCCCCAAATTTCATGTCCATGCAGAATATGACCTTTAGATGAGATCATACTGGATCAGGGTGGGCCCTAAATTCAATGACTGGTGTCCTTATAAGAACACCATGTGACAAGAGGCAGATATTGTAATAACACTACAAACCAAGAAATGCCAAAAACTGCTGAGAGCTACCAGAAGCTCGAAGAGGCAAAGTAGATTCTCCCAGAGCCTTCAGAGGAAGCGTGGTCCTGCCAACACTTTGGTTTTAGACTTCTTGCCGCCAGAACTGATAGAGGATAAATTTCTGTTGTTTTAAGCCACCCAGTCTGTGATAATTTGTTATGGCAGCCATAAGAAACTAATACAAACCCAGAGCCCTTGAGTGGGCAAACCATAATAAGGCTCTATGGTAGCTGATAAACAGGCTAAAAACCACTGATATGAATAATCTCATGCTCCTCTCAGTCCTACTTTAATTATTTTATAATAATTTAATTACAGACAATCATAGTTTATGTTCTCAAAGCATTCCACAAATGCTTTTTCTTCATTTCCCCCCAAAGAATTAGCAAACAGAATTCCACTTTCTCCCAGGTTAAGACAAATATGTAAGTTTAATTGATTTGCCTGTTTGAATGAAATGGAAATATAATTTTAATTTCAGCTCTTTGTATTCCAGAAGGCTTTTAAACCAAACTGCTGCCTCAAGGCTTTCTAACTATTATTTGAATACCCCAAAACCCTCTTCCTTTCTGCCCCAAATGACCAGCAGAGCTTTGCCCACTCTCGTCTTGCCCTTCCTTCAGATGGCTCTATGACAAGCCCACTGCCGATCTGGGCTCTGACCTGCGGCAAGATGACCTTCTTCAGCTGCTCCTGAGTGAAGTGCTCCACGTAGGCCTCGATGTGAGACAGCAGCACCATCCGCACATGCTCCTCGTGAACCTCGAACAACTGAAGGAGCACAGGGATCACCCGCGCCTGGAACAGGGCTGGTGACAGCAAGCAAGGGGTTTCTCCCGGTGCATTCTCTACCCCCAAAAGCAGATGAAAAAATGAACTGTCATTTCAGTGAAGAGAATACTAGGCATAATTCACAAACTGAGCCCAGAACTTTACACATATTCTAAGTATTCTTTTAAATTCTTATGCCCCAAACCAAAGCTGCTTTCTTGATCCCAAATTACTCAAGGCTTAGTTATCTTAAGTATTCTCTACCTTACAGAAATGTTTTGAAATACTAGAGATCATAGATAATGTACTACAACGAAAACTTGTATGGTATTTTAACAGAATCCTAAACGGTAACTTTTTATAAATTTATTCAGTGAGGCATTTCATAGACTAGATTAGATTAGTGACATATTCATATTGTTGATGCAATTTTATTTGCAAAACCAGGAAGTGTTAAATGCTACAATGGGACTTTGATGCTGGACAGTCCTCTCTTTCCAATAGTTAACAGTAGTGAGCATCAAACAGAGCAATGTGTGAGAATCATTTGGAGACCTTTAAAAATATATGTGTACCTATGTTTTGGCTCTGTCCCACAACCAGTGGATCAGGCATACAAATTTTTAAAATGCAATCCAGGTGATTCAGAGGTACACCCCTATCTACTGAGTAATAGAATAGAAGAGCTATAAATAAAAATTCACAGCTAAAGGGAACGACATGAAAGTAGACTTACAGGTTGAGTGAGTATCCCTTATCTGAAATGCTTGGGACTAGAAGTGTTTTGGATTTTGGATTTTTTCAGATTTTGGAATATTTGCATTATCCAGTTGAGTATCCCTAATCCAAAATCCTCCAATGAGCATTTCATTTGCGCACCATTTTGGTGCACCATCTTCGAGCACTTTGGATTTCGGATTTTTTGATTAGGGATGCTCGACCTATATTAGGAAATTCCAAATTGTAAAACAGTAACCAGTAACACTGCTTTGTTAAATTGAGATCTTTTAAGAAAATAAATTCTGAAAGCAGGATCCTACCTACCTCAAAATTCTATAATATTATATTAATGCTGTATTCTTAAACCTGATGTGTTACCTACCACCTATAGTGCTATAAAGTTACAAAGTTTCAAAGTAAAAACCTCATGTCACATTCAGGAAAAAAACTGAAGCCCCAAGAAGTAAAATTATTTCAGTGCTTTTCAATCTTTCCACTGAAAACAGAAAATAAATGTGTTGTTCTTGGTAAGCCAGGAGGCACAGGCCTAAACGCACAAGTTCTGTGAAGACGTGTTACCTTAAAACTTCATTTGTATTTCATATTTTAGTCCTATGTAACTACTTACTAGACTAAATCTGACTCACAGGGAAGATGCTCCATATTTATCTTGTGGACTTTGGTACCCAAGTTTGAGTTAAAGCTATCACACAAGGGGCCAATAATTGTTCTCTGTTTTTAGAACCAAACATTAATTATACCACATAGTAATCTTATCCTGCTCAAGCACCGCACTCTCCCGAGTGAGCCACGGGCCGGCCCAGGAATAATTATCACCAAATTCTTTAATCGCCAATAATAATTTTTTTTTTTAATTCACCTTTTTTGGGGCCAAGCAGATGAGGAAGAAAACTCTTAACAGCTACTGGCTCTGCAAACACCAACTGATTAAGCAGAAGAGGCACCAACCTCGAAGCTATTAATTCTTCTGACAAGCAGCTAACTCTGTCCAGCAGAAATCTGAGGACAAAGAAGGAAAGCCTGTGAAACTGGTCATGATGCTCAGTCAATTTACTTGTACAGCTCAGCCACATACAACCTCTCTCCCACTTCTATCAAAGTGATACACTTTGAAATGTAGCTGGGGAAGGTGAACAGGTCGGTCCCCAGGTACTTAAGAAAGCTGCAGAAAGTGTGAGGCAAGGCCAGCATACCTCCAATCCAAGCTAGGACATGTTTTCAACAAATTAACTCCTATTAATAGCAAAAGTGCCTTCCTTTTTCCCCTAATGAGCCAGAGGCTTTCTAGATAATAAAAGGCACTTTTTCAAATTTCAAAGCTATAGGATATTAGATTAAAGATTCCACCGTAAACAAAATATAGGCTTTTGTTATTTACTTCTATAAAGACAACATATATAAAAGTACTTTGTTAAGATTTACAGATCTTACATGTTAATAGTAATAATACTCCACTATAAGGTTATCCTTAGCAGATAACCTGGCCTCCTGCTTTGTTAGGAAACAGGCCACGTCATGCATTATCACCTTCACACCCATATGCCAGTATAGACAAACAGGTCCACATCCACACTCATTCTCACCTCCTCTCCAGTCACCAAGGATTGGAGGGCTTCCTCTCGCTTATGGCCACCCCACCCAGACACTGCCACAACATTCCTTCTCTTTCAGGACATGCACTGACAGTCGTCCCAACACTGCAGACACAACTGCTCCCTCCACTCTTCCCCTAGCTCCTCTCCCTCAGTCTATAAACATGTTCACATCTCTTCCATCCTTAGAACTTTCTTCCATGACTCTATGTCCTTCTTTAGCAATAATACGTTCTTCCCTTTCCAAATTGCCCAGGTTTTACCCAACATCTACTTTCTCACCTTCCATTCATTTATCAGCCCACTGCAGTCTCACCCTGCTCAAACAGCTCTTGCTAAGACAAGGTTACCAGCGCTTTCTTGATTGCTAAATAAACAGGTGTTGATTTCTCCTAACTTTCTGAAATTCCCTACTCCTTTGGGAAAATGAATTCCTTCCTGGTTCTCTCTGAATCTCCTCTAACCATTGCTGCTTTGTTTCCCACAAGCCCTCTTACAATGTTGGGTGACCCAAGGGTTACAATTTGGGCTACTCATTTTCTCTGGGAAAATATCACCAACCATAGGCTGATGACACCCTAATACTGACCTCTAGCTCATCAGCTTAAGAATTCACTCCTGAGCTTCAGAACTGTCTGGCCAACTGGCCATGTACATCCCTATCCCACACCTCTGTCCCACACTTCAAACCAACACATCAACACTGAATTCATCATTGTCCTGCATAGTAGGTCTTCCCCTCTCTCTCTCATTTGGTAATAATCACTCAGGCTTGCCAACTTTATCTTTTAAACCTTTCTTATCTCAGTGTCTTCTTCTTGACTGGTACCATCAACGCCCTTACATGTGGCCTCACATCTACCGCCCGGACTGCCGCGGTCGACTGACTGATCCATGAGCTAAGCCTGCCTCCTTCATAGACAATACAGTGATCCACCTAAAGGGAGTTTTAACCATTTCACAGCCTGCTTTCAACCCTTCAATGGTTCAATACCTCAAGTCCACTATTTGCAAATAGTGTCAACACTCTTCAGTTCCACATACAAGGGCTACCTCTTACTGTCCTTGTCTTAGAATTTGCCCCCCAGCAGGACTCAGCTGCTTGTCATTCCCTGCACAAGTCATACTGGGTCTCGCCTTCGTGCATTTGTTCATGTTGCTCCTCTGACCAGAATATTTTTCTTTAACCACCACTTGCCTGTCCTCCGTGTTCTCAGGACTCCCTCCAAAAGCCCTTTCACTGCAACCACCCCCCCATTTAAGGATTACCAGTCTGGGCATCTATTTCTCTCACCAAAACTCTCTCTCCCAGGGCCTAGCAGAAAGCCTGACGTGTAGGAAATGTTCAATAAACACTGTGAAATAAACCAGATGTCTGACTCATCCTCTCTAGAATACCTGATGTGATTACATGGACTTAATCCAAGTTACTGAATTTAAAGTCTTGACTTTCTGAACTTACTTGAAGAATTCAGTTTTTTCCTCTTCACTCTTCAATGTTAAACTTTTCAAGAAATTCACAACTTCTAGAAAATCATTTCTAAATGCCAAAAAGAAAAAAATGTAGGACAATAGATTAGAGAAGGTTGTTAAACATTGAAACCATAACCACAGGCCACACCATTATAATTTTCAACAAAGAAACATTCTCCTGTATAATTATTATGTGTCAATTAAAAAAAAAACTTCTTTTAATTAAAAAATACTCTTCTCAGTGGATGGAATATTGGGAGACAGCACGTGCACGGCAAAAATTCAAATACACTGCATACATATTTCAGGAAAAAAATTCTCCTATACTATTTAAAACTATTATAACTAAGTTGCTTATGAAACAAGCTATTATTTTAAGAATATCAAAGAAATCGATAAAGACAATACAAACATTATTAGCTCCACGCATGCTAATATGCTTTATGGATTTAACTGTCATCATCATTCTTTTTGTCGTAATAGAATGTTGTTAAATGAAATATCCTGGAAATGACATCACCATTACAAAATAGTTATTGATTCCCAAGTCTTCTTTGGTGAAATAAAAATTATTAAAGGGGGTTGGGAAAAGCAGAATTTCTGTACAAGTGACAGGAGTCTTCTCACTTCTCCTGCTTCAAGTCATTCAATCGTTCTTTCAGCCAGGCAGGGATAAGTGTGAGAAGAGAGCCAGTTTCCCACAGGGCCAACAGAGTCCCAAATACTGTTGGACTGCTAAGCTCCAAGGGAAGGTTGCTCACGTCCTGCTGTACTGGACTGTTGCCCCTAGATGCTTCTGCACACAGCTGAACAACCTACATGGCAGACCCAGTAAGCACAGCTATAGCCTGGCTCTCCACATCTTACGTTTACACCCATTTGCCTCTGTCTTAGTAGCAGAGATGTCTTAACTTTAACCAAATCGGCTCAGCTACCTCCACAAGAGATGCTAGCTCTGGCTGCTTCTGTTGTCTCTGACTGGGTTTCCTCCTCACATGTAACAATGGGATTTGGGGAAGGGGGTGTTGATGTTTGTAGCTTTCTTCTCCCCTCTCTATTTAAAATACAATTCTTAATAGAGAACTCACATTACATACAGGGATGAAAGAATATATTTACTGTAAAGGATTATTCTTTGTAAAAACTTTATATCAAGGGGAAGAAAATATTTCTAAGAATCATCCAAAAAGACACAAAAATACCTTGGTTAGAAGACTCTCCTAATGGTAAATATACACAATTTTAATTTGTCAATTAAAAAAACAAATTAAATTTTAACCCCCTCCCCCCCAAAAGAGTCTAATAGGAAATGTTTTGAACAGTTTCTTTGAAATATAAATGACATATGTAACTATAAATACTACTTATTTAATAATATACCCCCCCCAATACCCCCCCCC